CATCACTGATGGGAGGAGTCGTGTGTCCTGCCTTGGCCAGAGCCAAGGAGCAAGCACGAACACCCTCCTCATGGGGGATGTTGGTGTACAGAGATGAGACGTCGAAAGTCCCAATGATGGCCGTGCTGGGAATCTGGTCCTTGATTCCTTCAAGCTTGCGTAGGAAGTCTGGGGTGTCGTGAATGTATGACGAAATCTGTGGGACAAGGGGTTTGAGAAAACTGTCAATGAACAGGGAGATGCGTTCCGTGGGTGAGCCATTACCGGAGATGATGGGTCTACCGGGGTTGCCAGCCTTGTGAATCTTGGGTAGAAGGTAAAATCTGGCAGTCCTACAATCAGAGGGAGAAAGAAATTTGTGAGCTTTCTTGGACAACTGGTCACGTGATCGCATATCGTCAAGTACCTGTTGTATATCTCGACAGAAAGTGCCTGTGGGGTCAGAGTCAAGGCGGGTATAGTTAGTGCGATTATCCAACTGACGGTGGGCCTCATCAATGTACTGCTGACGATCCATGATGACCACAGCTGAACCTTTATCTGCTGGCTTGATGATGATGTCGGTGCGAGAGCGCAAGGAGTTGAGAGCCAGGCGCTCCTCTCTGGGGAGATTATCATGAGTCCTGTGGGGGAAGTTGTCCGGGTTAGTGACTTGGGAATTTATAACTTGAACGTATGTCTCTATGGCTGGCACACGATTCTTGGGGGGTACCCATGAACTCTTGACTCGAAAAGGCTCTGGCTCACACGGTTCACTGTCCAGGAAAAACTCACGCAGACGGATTCTACGGTAGTATTCCGTGAGATCTTGGCTGAGCTGAACCTGGTTCACAGAACGGGGAGCGGGACAAAAATTGAGACCCTTGGAGAGAAGTTTGTGCTCTGCGTCAGATATTGATGAGGAAGAAAGATTAACTACAGTGTTGACAGGGGGTTCCGGTGGTGGCGTGGTAGATGGGGACCTAGGACGTCTGAAACGTCTGTGTCTGCGTTGTTGTTGCTTGGCAAGCACGCCACCAATCTTCTTGTTTCTCCTGTTGAGTAGGACAGAGTCAAGGTTAGACAAACCCCTTTCAATCTCATCATGGAAATTCCTGTACGTGGAATCAGAACAACTGGATTTGAGTTGGGAGTCAAGGTGGGAAATGTTCTGATGGAGGTCCTCACGTGTAAATTGACACTGCTGAGAGAGAATATTGATGAGTTTAATAGAGGCACCATGCATCACTTGATTCCATCTCCTTTGGAGGTGTGGTGGGAGGTTTCCTAAGCAGGGGGTGTGAGACAGTTGCAAACCTTTGGGGATAAATCGAGAGAGGGAGTAAAAACTGTAGTTATCCTGATGGTAGGAGAAGCGTAAGGCCTTTTCCTTTGCCTTTCTGAGCTGTTGGAAAGTGCAAATGGTGCCACTCATATCTGTAGAAAGGGAGAGAATAAATGGTTAATACAATAAATCAGTGGAGGAACACGAAGACAAAAAGTACAAGTCAAATGGAGTTGCTCATGCCTTTTGAAGGGACAGAGCAAAACAAAACAAAATTGTGGGTACCTGTAGAGTGGAGAGAACAGTTTGATTAGTACATGGTATAAAACGATCAAAAGAAGGAACAAAACAAAACACAATGAAAATTACTATATTTAGTCTATTTATTTACATGTCTCATAGGGTTGCCAAACTTACTGCCCTTTTCTGGCTTAGTTTACTGTCTTATTGTATATTTGTATTTAGTGTTAATACATAGTTTACTGTCTTATTGTATGTGTATTTAGTGTTAATACAATTTGTTTAATTAATTAATTATTTAATTAATATTAATGGGGATCCCTACTCGACAAGCAGTTGCTTTTTGGAGACCCCATTTCGCTCGTACCCCCCGCCCTGCAAACAGGACGCTGGGATACTCTGATGAATTCACGCCCTGATTGGTTGGATTTTGCGTGACCAGTGACCTGCGCGTCATCAAGGTCATGACTCTGCAAGGTTTGTAACGGCCGTTAAGATTGATTCATTGCTCTCTTTTTTCCAGTTTAGAGATGGTTTTTTTTCTCGTTGAAAAGCGTAATAATGTAGGAAATTCTGTAAAACTTATCTGTGTTGTAAATTTACAATTCCCGTCACTTGCTCAGGCTCCGTTTCGAATCACGAACGGTCGGATTGCATTATGCGACGCTCAAAATTGTGTCCACATGGTCCGCAATGAAACAGAAATCACATCCGGTATGGAATGTGTGCATTTCTATAAGAAGTTGTTTTTCGGATAGCATTTGCGCACATTGTGTAACTGCGGTCTTGAACAGCTGCAGCCAGATGCTTTATACATATGTCATAGCTCACTTCCTTCACAAGATTCTGTGAAGCTCATCACAGAGTATCCCAGCGTCCTGTTTGCAGGGCGGGGGGGGGGGGGCGGGACGAGCGAAGGACCCCATCCACATTTACTTTTCCTTTCGTATATTCGCTCGTACCCCCGCTCTGCAAAAAGGACGCTGGGAAGGGCTGACGAATTAACGCTCTGATTGAATAGATTTTGGGTGACCTGTGACCTGCAAGTCATCACGACCACGACCCTGCAAGGTTTGAAACGGCCGTTGACACCGAGTCATTCATCACTTTTTTTATTCCCATTCATAAATGCGGCGCCATTTTTTGGTTGAAAAAAGCATAATAATGTAGGAAAATCTGTAAAAATCTCTTTCAACTCCCGTCAGTTACTCGGGCTCCGTTTCGAACTCACGAAGGGTGGAAATGTATATCATTCAACGCTCAAAGTTTGTCCACATGGTCCGCAATGAAAAAAAGGAAACATCCGGTGTGGTGCGTATGCATTTCTACGGCAAACTTTTCGGATAGTATTTGCGCGCTTTGGCTAACCGCGTTCAACAGCTGCAGCCAGATGGTTTATACCCAGAATGCCATCCCCACTTACTTCACAAGATTATGTGAAGCTCATCTGCCCTTCCCTAGCGCCCTGTTTGCAGGGCGGGGGTACGAGCGAATTTCGTATATTGCGTATTTTCGTATATTTCGTATATTGCTGGCACACTCTCTGCATCCCACAGGAGTTAAAAGACGCCAATATAATCACTCTGTACAAAAACAAAGGCAGTTAAGACTGCAATAATTACAGGGGTATATCTCTACTGAGCTTAGCTGGCAAGGTCTTCTGCCGTGTGCTACTGCCCAGGCTGCAGGTCATTGCCAACAAGATCCTTCCTGAGAGCCAATGTGGCTTTCGTTCGTCTCGCTCTTCCTCTGATGTACGGAGCCCCTAAAGGGACAGGCATGATGAAGTTTTTTTTTATTTCGTTCCCTCGAAATATTATTTCGTTCCCTCGAAATATTATTTCGTTCCCTCGAAATATTATTTCGTTCCCTCGAAATATAGGTTTTCCCGGACAATTTCGGAAAATGTGCGTTTGAATTTGTAAAACATAAATTCAATTTGGCGCCGAGTTTGAGAACGACGTACATCCTGGTTTCATTTTCGCAATAACTAGCATTCCATTTCATTTTGCATCAATCAAATGAATGAATGTGCATAGCGTTTCATTTAAGGGATTACAAATACGTGATTAGGTTTTCGGTTTGACGTATGAGTTGCCGATTATTACGAATGTGCAATCCAATTCGCAGAAAATCGATTGTCTATTGTGACATGGGCTGAATTGAACATTCTTTTTCATTTGTTACAATTTAAATTCGCATTTTCTGCATTCAATTTAAATAAATTTTACAGGCCTATACAAATCATGATACAACTTTGATTCATTAATTAATTAATGTATGCCCTATTGATCATTAATGTGTTTGTTCTTATATACACAAAGGCCTATGTGAAATGTAGGCAAATGAAATGTGAAAATGATATAAATATGACCAATATGAAATCAATAAAAATAATCATGTATCCATATTATTGAAACGGTAAAGGGACACATCACGTGCCATGTTACATAGGATCTGCATGGGGACTTTTTGTTGGTTCATTGTCTTAGTTGTATTTTAATTTCTTTATGTATTTCTTAAAGGGAATATACATCATTTGCTTTTGCTGTAATTTTCAGAAATGGATGGAATTGGGGGGTTGGAAATATAAAGCAAATATAGTTACACTGACTTTTTGGAGGTTTTGGGTTCGAAAATGCTATAAAAACCAAGAAAAACGATTATTTTCCTGTAGTCTGGTTCCCTGACTCCATATAAGAAGAAACAGAGCAGTTTACATACATTGGGGAATTGTAAGGTCAGGGAACCAGTCTAGCTGGCTCGTACCCGTTCATAGGTTTGTAATCGATTGCAAACAAGTGCAATGGTCAATTGGGGCCAGTATTTGAAAAAAAAGCCAGTTGTTTCCAACGCTGATCGGCCGATCAGCGTTGGAAATTGATACAAAAATACCACTTTTCTTGAAAATGACAGTATACCATGTGCCATAATTTTACAGGATGCTTTAGACTGTCATTTACCAACATCCTATTAAGGTATTTCGCAAAAACTTGGTAGTTTTATTTTTCGATGTTTGCAAATGTTGTATATTCCCTTTAAGGTTCTCTCTCGTCTTATCAGTTCGATTGTCTATCCTTCAATGACCTGTCCACCAAGACATCGAGGGAGATATGTCTGAGAATGGTTGTACCAGGCGGTGCATTTCGCAGGTGTCACCTCTCCAATGTTGAGTGCAGCCACCTCCTGGAGACGGAGGGATCTCCAGACTTGCAGGTTCACACCAGCTTGGACTCTTGCGTCTTGGTCTCCAAATCTGTCCTGCCATTCAGGAAGCCCCAGCGTGCGCTTCACTCCCGCCTTGAAAGCTGAGTGCGCCATTTCCGTAGGATTTAAGAATGGCGAGTATGGGGGCAGCAACTTGATGGTGAAATTGCCGGCATCAGGGGGTAGTTGGGCTCGGATATGAGGACGAGCGTTGTCAAATATCAGATATATGCGTTCGCCTGCCGGGAATAACATACCGCATTCTTGTACAGTCGTCGCTAAGAAATCCTCAAAAGTCGCTCTCGTCACAGTCTCTGATGATATTCTGTCCAACCTCACCAGAACACCTGATACAGAACACAATTTTTTGGGGGGGGGCCAAAAAAAATTCTGGTCCCCCCAAAAAGTGGGTCAAAAAATATGGCGTGGGGTTCGGGGCCCGCTTAAGGGCCCCGAATTTTTTTTGGATTCTAGATGCTCTGTGGTGCGATCTGAGGCAATTTCTGACCACTTTAACCAATGTTTTCTTCAGGAAAAGATGATGGTGTACTCATTGCCTGCCTTTATTGCAATGTCACTTACAAAAAAAAAAAAAAAATTTCGTTTTGGGGGGGGCCATGGCCCCCTTTGCCCCCCCCCCCCCCCCTGGATCCGCCCTTGTCCACGAGGAGCGCGACCATAAGACCGACGGGTCCATATGTTATACCCAGTCTCGTCAATGTACACAGTGTGGCCAAGGACACCAACCTGAAGAAACCAATTTCCAAATATGACTCGTGCATCTAATATGCGTGGCTCATTCCTCTGTTCTGGAACATCTTCCGCTAGTTTAAGAGTTATAAGCATACCATCTAGAGTTCTAGCGATGGTACTAGTGGTAACGAAGGGCTTATCGGGAAGATCAGCTCGCAGTTGAGTATTGAGTTGACGCAAAGTTAGAAGGGGGTTGTCATCTAGATATCCTTGAAGGGCATCTCTCATGTCGTCGTCAACCTTCTGGTTTATGGGTCCTCCTTTCGGCAGCTTGTTACGACGACCATCCCGAAGATATACGCCAACGATTGATCTGGCCGTTGAGTGCTTGATGCCCAGCGTATCTGCTACCTGCAGATAGTCAGCGTCGTCAGCCTCAAAGGCATCGATGAGGCGATTTCGGTCAACGTCCGAGATTCGTCGGTATCTCCCTGTTGCAGCCATTATTGGATATTTAAGGACTATGTGAACTGAGACTCTTGGCTATATGATGCGATTGTGGCAAATGCTGATCAGAAAAAGATTTTCTTAAGGTTAGGTTTTTATATAGGATTTATTACAATAGTTGGTATGTTTCAAAAGACTACACCTCTTGGTTTTAGCTCAATCATCATGAATATTCAAAAATTCAATCATTCAATCAACCTTTCCTCAAATGTTACTTTAACACATAAATGAATTCCAATGCTTGACCAGGCATACGTTAAATAACACTGCGAGGGAAATCGGCTGCACATTTAGCGAAAAAGATTGATGACAAATTAAAAGGAAAATAGGATTGCGGATGTGCCTTCGATTTCGCGCTAAAATGAAATGTCAATACACTAAATGCAGTGCACATTCGGGAAATCGTACGCTGATTTTTTACGACTGAATGCACCTTCACGGAAAAAGAATTATCATTTGTTGAATAGAAACAGAGATTTGGAAGGTTCATTCTATTTCGCACGAAAACGAATGCTTCTTTTACAAATTCGTGTACACATTTTCCGAAATTGTCCGGGAAAACCTATATTATTTCGTTACCTCGAAATATTATTTCGTTACCTCGAAATCATTTCGTTCCCTCGAAATATTATTTCGTTCCCTCGAAATATATTTCGTTCCCTCGAAATAATATTTCGTTCCCTCGAAATAACATTTCGTTCCCTCGAAAATCATTTCGTTCCCTCGAAATATTATTTCGTTCCCTCGAAATAATTATTTCGTTTCCTCGAAATAGTTTATTTCGTTCCCTCGAAATAGTTTATTTAGTTCCCTCGAAATTATTATTTCGTTCCCTCGAAATAATTATTTCGATCCCTCGAAATAACTATTTCGTTCCCTCGAAATAATCATACGGAAGCTCAAAGTGACCATCCGCATTTCAGACGTGTAGCAAAAGGTTTGTTTGTCCGTTGTGAACGTCTTGTTTTGCCATTTAAAATGAACTAATATAATGATTGTAAATAAGGATTTCCAAACTTACCAAATGATGAATACTGATTTCATAATTGAACATCAACGGATTGAAAACCGTTTTGCATCGGACAAACAGACGTTTCGCTACTAGTGGAGCGGCATAGGAACAGAATTGTGCATACGGGAAATGGGTCATTTGGGAGACATTCCCATAGACTTGAGCAAACTTTTTCAAACTTCAATGTGCCCTCACCCAATATTCCCTTGTCCTTTCCCCACGAATTTCGGTGTGTTCACCAACTAGACCACAAGCTATATGATGCGATTGTGGCAAATGCTGATCAGAAAAAGATTTTCTTAAGGTTAGGTTTTTATATAGGATTTATTACAATAGTTGGTATGTTTCAAAAGACTACACCTCTTGGTTTTAGCTCAATCATCATGAATATTCAAAAATTCAATCATTCAATCAACCTTTCCTCAAATGTTACTTTAACACATAAATGAATTCCAATGCTTGACCAGGCATACGTTAAATAACACTGCGAGGGAAATCGGCTGCACATTTAGCGAAAAAGATTGATGACAAATTAAAAGGAAAATAGGATTGCGGATGTGCCTTCGATTTCGCGCTAAAATGAAATGTCAATACACTAAATGCAGTGCACATTCGGGAAATCGTACGCTGATTTTTTACGACTGAATGCACCTTCACGGAAAAAGAATTATCATTTGTTGAATAGAAACAGAGATTTGGAAGGTTCATTCTATTTCGCACGAAAACGAATGCTTCTTTTACAAATTCGTGTACACATTTTCCGAAATTGTCCGGGAAAACCTATATTATTTCGTTACCTCGAAATATTATTTCGTTACCTCGAAATCATTTCGTTCCCTCGAAATATTATTTCGTTCCCTCGAAATATATTTCGTTCCCTCGAAATAATATTTCGTTCCCTCGAAATAACATTTCGTTCCCTCGAAAATCATTTCGTTCCCTCGAAATATTATTTCGTTCCCTCGAAATAATTATTTCGTTTCCTCGAAATAGTTTATTTCGTTCCCTCGAAATAGTTTATTTAGTTCCCTCGAAATTATTATTTCGTTCCCTCGAAATAATTATTTCGATCCCTCGAAATAACTATTTCGTTCCCTCGAAATAATCATACGGAAGCTCAAAGTGACCATCCGCATTTCAGACGTGTAGCAAAAGGTTTGTTTGTCCGTTGTGAACGTCTTGTTTTGCCATTTAAAATGAACTAATATAATGATTGTAAATAAGGATTTCCAAACTTACCAAATGATGAATACTGATTTCATAATTGAACATCAACGGATTGAAAACCGTTTTGCATCGGACAAACAGACGTTTCGCTACTAGTGGAGCGGCATAGGAACAGAATTGTGCATACGGGAAATGGGTCATTTGGGAGACATTCCCATAGACTTGAGCAAACTTTTTCAAACTTCAATGTGCCCTCACCCAATATTCCCTTGTCCTTTCCCCACGAATTTCGGTGTGTTCACCAACTAGACCACAAGCAACAAATATAATCTAACTGCGACGATAAAATTTTGCCTCTAGAGGGGGGGGGGGGGGGGCTGTGACATTAGGGAGACATGTCTCCTTAATGACCGATGTCTCCCGTGCCCATCGTGCGAAGAAATTACGATAACGTGTCTCCTTATGACCTTTACATGTATTATAATAATAATAATAATAATAATAATAATAATGTATTATTAATAATTATAGCGTTTTACATAAAATCTCAAAACGCTTTACAAAATATCAAAACCACATAAAAGGTTAACCAGTTAATTAAAAAAGTAGTATAGGTTTTGAAAAATGACAATACTTAATAAATGTACATTTCAATTTGTGAAACATAAATTCAATTTGGCGCTGATTATGAGAACGAGGTATATCCTGGATTTATTTTCGCAATAAATAGCATTCAATTTCATTTTGCATCATTCAAATCAATTAATGTGCATAACGTTTCAATTAAAGAATTACAAATACGTGATTAGACTTTGGTTTCACGGGTGCGATGCTGATTATGACGAATGTGCAATCCAATTCGCAGAAATCGAATTTTTTTTATTGTAGCACAGGCTGAATTGAACATTCTTTTTCATTTGTTATAGCCTTATTCTAATTCGCATTTTTGTATTCAATTTAAATAAAGTAAACAGGCCTATACAAATCATGATACAGCTTTGGTAAATTTAATTAATTAATCAATGTATTAAAGGCCTAATTGATCATTAATGTGTTTGTTCTTATACACAAAGGCCTATTTGAAATGAAGGCAAATAAAAGTTAAACTGATATAAATCTTACCAAAATAAAATCAATCAAAATATTTGTAGGCATATTATTGGGACGGTTAAGGGAACCATGACGTGTCACGTAACATGGGATCTGGAGACTTTTCATTGTTGGTTCGTTGTCTTAATTGTATTTTAATGTCATTGTGTATTTCTTAAAGTTCTTTCTCATTTTATCGGTTCGATTGCTTGGTTATATGATGCGATTGTGGCAAATGCTCAACAAAAAAGGAACGATTGTCTTCAGCATAGGTTTTTATATACAGGGGTGTGTAATCTCAGCTTTAAAGCTGATTTCAGCTTTTTCCCCTCACTTGTTGTGTACAAAAGTATAGGAGATTTCCGAAGTTCAGCTTTTTTACGCCATTTTCAGCTGTTTTAAGCTATTTTTATCAGTGGTCACTCATACCCCTGTATATAGGATTTATTACAATAGTTGGTACCTTATGTTTCAAAAGGCTACACCACGACTTGGTTTAGTTCAATTATCCTGAATATTCAAACATCCAATCATTTAATCAAACATTCCTCATATGTTACTTTTGTGGACACATAAATGAATTACAATGCTTGACCAGTCATAGGCCTATAACACTGCGCGGGAAATCGGCTGCAAATTTAGCGAATAGATTGATGATAAATTAAAAGGAGTACAGGATTGCGGATGTGCCTAATTCGATTTCGCGCTAAAATGAAATGTCAATATAGTAAATTCAGTGCACATTCGGGAAATCGTACGCTTATTTTTTTTACGACTGAATGCACCTTCATGGAAATAGAATTATCATTTGTTTAGTAGAAACAGGGAATTTTAATGTTCATTCTATTTCGCACGAAAACGAATGCTTCTGTTACGAATTCATGTTCACATTTTCCAAAATTGTCCGGGAAACTTATAGTTATAAAATATGCCTTTTTAAAAAGAAACGTCTAAAGCATGAAACTATACATGCCATAACAAAACTTTTCAGACATGAAGGCATTTCATATCTGACCTCTGGTGACCTTTGCGAGCAGCTATTTATCAAATGCAATCTTCCAAATGCTACTTTTTCATGACCCTAAATAGTGCAAAAGAAGTGAGTTTAACAATTATTCAAAAGCATATTAAGGGTTTCAGGGTTCAAGGTTCAAGGTTTATTTATTTATTTTCACATTATCAACAAATTATTAACAATGTCAATTATTTCATATTCACTTCGTCGCTGTAAGAAATAAAGAAGTTGCGTTAGGATCTGTTAAGAAATCTTTAAAATTAACAGACGATTGTGTGGCCTGTATTACTAGCGAGAGTTGTGCCGATGTTAATAAAAGACTCGTTGAAACTCAGTTGAGCAATAGGCGATTTCACCAGCGTCATTACTGGATGTTCCTTTCGTTGATTGTGTTGGATGAGAGGATTTGAAAGGAATCCATAGATGTATTAAATGCATCTTCTGGATTATTGCAAATATAGGCTTCTGTCCAATCAGTGGCTAACAGGTCATCGTTAAATTGCGTAAAGTTAATGTTGGAAAAGCTATACGTGCAACAGAAGAATATGTATTTCGACTGTTTGGGCCAGAAGTGTCCGAGTGAACATTAAAATCGGTAGGTGATCTGAAAAACCTGTTATACATGATTTGGGTGAAGGTAAAATGTTTCAAATTATTATCATCTATGAGTGTATAAACAGATGTATTAGTAATATAGGTTTTCTCGGTCAATTT